CTGATATATAAAGGATGGTCACTAATACATTAAACTGTTCTTATGGAAGTAAATATAAAGTATGTTTTTTCACATAAAATTGTATTTATGAAATATTGTTGGGTTAAGAGAGTAAATTATAAAGCAGTATGTATTGTATGATCTAACTTCATTTAAATGATTAAAATGTTTATTTTAATAATCTATACATATGACAATAACACACATTTATATTGTAATTGAAGCAATTGTAATAATAAATAAAAATTTCCCAGACAGGACAATAGCTAGCCTCATGAAAGGAATTGCTAATGGTAAAGTTTCATGTATTACAGCGAGAAATAAATTTAGGCGGTAACTAAGTAAATTCCATGGTTCATCTTTACCAGGCACAGGGTTATGTGGTTTATATGGATAATTTCATCTCATTCTTATAGCAAACCCTCCTGATTCATTTTGTGGGTATCATTATTATCTTCACTTTATATATGAGGAGATGGGTAAAGAACTTGTGCAACTTTTTCAAGGTTAGACTCACTGATAAAGCAGTAGAACCAAGTTTTAAACTCACGTCTGTTTGGTGACAGAGTTCAAACTTCTAACCAGTGTTTTGCTGCTTCTTCGGAGAAACTTGGGCTTGTATAGGAAGGTACTCACCACGCAAGGCTTACCTGTAGGGGCAGGTGCCCGCTCCCGGGGGACATGGGAGCGTGAGGCAGGAAGGGAAGCTGGCAGGGGCCCACTAGCACGTGTGCAGACCAGGCCAGACCCACGGGACCCCGCACTGAGGCAGGAGCGAGAGGGGAATCGTTCCTGTGTGGAGCCGGGGTGTGGGAGGGGCCACACCCTTGGTGAAAGGGCAAACAGAAAAAATAATCCCACGGGCGGTCAACAATAAATATTGTTTTTCTTGGTCTTGGCTTAAGGTGGAGGACTTTAAAATTTCTTCTAAATATTCATGCCACTGAGTTGTCAGCCCTTCGGGGTTTGGGTTACACATTGTAGGGCCGAGAAGATACATGCTGAGAACTACAAAGTGAAATGACATTGGGTCTGTTCATCCCAACTGCTTGGCAGAGGCAAAAAAAATTTTTTTCTAAAAAACCCATCTTTTTTTAAAGATTTTATTTATTTATTTTTTAGAGAGGGAAGGGAGGGAGAAAGAGAGAGAGAGAGAAACATCAATGTGTGGTTGCTGGGGGCCGTGGCCTGCAACCTAGGCCTGACTGGGTGCCCTGACTGGGAATCGAACCTGTGACACTTTGGTTCACAGCCTGTGCTCAATCCACTGAGCTACGCCAGCCAGGGCCTAAAAACCCCATCTTATTCCAGGATTTAAAATATTCCCCAAGATGAATTCATAATATCAAGTTACATGATGCACAAGAAACTGAGCCACCCAGAGGGAGAATCAGCAGAACCTACAAACAAGAAAACCAGATGCAAAAGTCATCAGCAGTTGGCTGATCAAATTCTGAATAGATGCTTAATACCCTTAAAGAAATAAAGTAATTTCAAAAATACACAAGGAGTGAGGTACTTCCAAAAAGGGCCACTCCTTTTCATAAAAGACCCAAGTAGATATCCTAGAAATGAAAATTAATATAATTTAAATTAAAAAGTCAATTACAGGGGTAAGGGGCTCATTGGAGCTGAGGTGTGAGTTAGTAGACCGGAGAATGGGTCTAAAGAAATGACGCATAAGGCAGCACAGAGAAGTAAAAAGAAGGAGAATGTGAGTGGTGGAGTTTAGGTGACAGTGTGAGAGAGTTGAACACAGGATAGCCCTACACTGCAGGCCATCTCCTTCAATAACATGCAGACGGACAGCCACCTGTGTGGACTGACACCCCGCCCTTCGGAGGGTTACCTCTCGCCACTACCTTCCAGAAGCACACGCTATTGAACGGTAGTGAGCATTCCAGACGACAGTGCAGAGCTATCCAGAAAACAGGCCCATGCTTTTCCCATGGAGCCTCAGGTGTGGACTGAAGGCCAAGGTGGGGGGTGAAATAGAAGCAGGTACCATGTTACTTGCACTTGCTCTTGAAATAAAATTCTCCCTTCTTCCAGCTGTGCTCGAGTCTGGTCTTGACTATACGTTCTCCACTTATCACAGAAAACTCTGCCTGTCCAGCTTGCCAGTGTTGGGGATCAGATGATACCCAGTTCTGAGCGCCGTACTGAGGCTTTTGGTCAAGAGCTGGGAACGGCTTTTCGAAGGCAGATCTACCAGCAGGTAGTATAGCTTTCTTTACACCCAAAATCTTTGCACCTGCCTTGAGGGTCTCTTTAATGGAGAATGCCGTGGGCTTAACCACATATCCCTATTGGCCAGTATTGGCCACGAATACTTCAAGAACAACTGAGCCTGCTTGGTCTCTGGCCTAAGGTTGGCGGGGGGGGGTGGGCGGGACAGCTTTCATCCTAGCCCTGTTGTGCTACAGAACTCTCTGGGGCCCAGCCAGTGTCCTGCCTTACAGATGGCACAGTAGGGGACCAGAGCAGCACACCCACCTGTAGTATATGTTAACTCCGTAGTGAAGCATCACTTTGCTTTCTGCAGCGGCTGCTGTAAGTCACGGCAGCTGGTCTCTCACTTTAGGGCGGATACTCTAACATGTGCCACACCTCTGGACTACTCAAAAGCTCACCAATGTGGCAGGTCCCTGAACTTTGCAGGTTTTACCTTGGTCTAGCACGTGCATGTCATCTACGGAGGCACCTAGAGTGCTTTATCATTTTTATTCACCAAGAACAATCAGCATCATGCCATCAGTGTAACAGACCAGTACACTATCAAGATGACTAAGGGCCTTCTAAACTACCATATTTGGCTGTGTATAACAAGTACCTTTTTTTTTGCCCAAATTTCTTAGGGAAAAATGAGGATGCACATTACACATGGATATAATGATTATATACCATGGGTATAGTAATCCCATGTATCATGCGTGCAAAAATGCGGGGTGTGCATTATGCACAGCAAAATATGGTATGCTGATCCAGAACAGACTAAATAGAGCATTGAGATAAAATTGTTGAAGGGTATTTCTGAACCTGGCACTTGAAGGCAAACTATCTGTCTCCACCAAGCATTTCCAAACACTCTCCTGGAAGAAATTTTAGCCCCAGGCTCCCAGTAGCCAGCTTCCTGTCAGTGAATGGAGCCCTCCAGCTAGTCCTCCAAGTTCTCTCTCCCTCCCTGTCCTCCCATTCACACTCATACCCACCCACCAAACACACCAACGGCTGTCTCTGCCCCAGAACTGTGGTTTCCTCCCTCCAGCCTGGGTGTTCAGGCTCCTCTGGATGGGAGCTGGGGAGGAGGGACTAGGGAGGAGGCCACTGAGGTTCTTGCTCGGATCTTTGATCTCTGCCCAGCACTGTGTCTCCAACGCTGCAGAAGTAAGAGCTGCTGTCTTCGGGGCTGGCGTTGCTCACAGTCAGGATGGAGAAAGTCAGGTCCGGGCGGCTGATGGGAAACTTGTCCTTTGTAAATCCACTTTCGTAAGTGGCATCAGCGCCCTGATTCGCTGTTGCAATCAGTGTCAAGCTCTGCCCTGGAAGCTGACGGTACCAGAACATGAAGGTGAGTTGGCTGTCAGCCTGACACTGGATGGTCACGGAGGTCCCGCGTTGACAGATGAACCTGCTCGGCTTTTGAGAGACGACAGCACCAAACACGGAGCCTGGTTGCAGGGAGACAGAGAAACCCATGAGGGCTGACCAGCTTGTCCCCGGGCAGGAAGGTCTTTTACTATTTGCTCCAATGTTATCTTGGCTCCCAAAGAACCCTGTGGCACCGCCCTCCATTTTGTTCTGCCAACTGTTATTCTGTCAAATCCTCTAACCCAACACCCCCCACCCGCATCCTCTGGTGGACTCAGACCCTCCAATCCTCTCCTCAGCAGGAGCGTTAACCCCCGACTTCCCTGCCCTATAAGGCTCATACCTCGGCCCAGGAGAAGTAGCAGGAAAGTCAGCATCTTTCGATGATACCCTCACGTCTTCCCTGAGCAAAGGCACTAAGACGTCAAACTGAAGTTCATCTTTCCTCACCACGGTGTAGTTCCTTTCCTGTAGGTTGTCTGCACCCCTCCTGTAAGTAGAAAGTTGAGTTTCTGCAAAATATAGAGGAAATGAGTCTGCCCCCTAGTGGAGGTATCTGGCTCTTCACTCACAAGGAGTCCCAGCGAGCAACTGCCGTCCATCACTACGGAGTGCCGTGTGTATGTGCTACCCTTCAGGTATAAAGCAAGAATGGGGTGCAGCGCCGACCCCAGACAACTAAGGTAAAACTTTAGAATATGGGGGAACCTTATCACTCAGAATTTCAACTGTCTGTTGAATCTTCTTTGTCCCAAACTGCCCCCATTATTCCTCTCTCAGCCCATACTCCAGCAACCTGGCTTCTGCTCCCGATTTCCTCCCTCCCAATAAAATACTTAACTTTTGCATAAACGCTGAGCTGATTTTCTGAGCACTTAGTCAGAATTCAAATTCCACAAGGTGTCCCTTGAATCAGCACGTGGCCAATAAAATTGACCTAAAGAAGGAGTTTAAGCTGTGTGAGTACCCCCTAGTGAAATATTAATTAAGAGCAAAGAGGTAGAACAAAGTGGCAAATGATAGTAAGAGGGACGAGGATAAGAAAACAAACGAAAAAATGATAGAAAAAAATGGTAGAAAGGTGCTTCTTCCTTGTAAATAGGTGTGAGGACTTTTCCTCCTGGTTGGGGTTGAGTCTCATAAATTTAGGTTGGGGACGACATCCAGGTTTGGGCAGGCTACCCTGGGGATGGCCCCTAAGTGGGAAGTGCAAGTGAGTAGGGCATGAAAAATGTGCTGTGCTCCCCTGGCCACGATGTGTGTCCGTGGGCTTGGTTCCACTGAGGGGCCACCGTTTTTCCCAAGTGGCACACACATGCCACAGGAGCCAGTGTAACTCGGCCCCGAGTTTGGTCCCTGCCCTCTGGCACCTGCCCTTTTTGTGCAGGAGGGAGGCGGCCGTGCAGCACTGTGGGTTCACTGCTGGCGCAGAAGTACACAGATGTCTGGGAGGGCGTGGCCGACTCCAGGATCAGGGAGAAGCTCTCCTTCTGCTTCCTGGAGACACTGTACCCATCAGGGAAATCTCCTTTCTCAGTATTGTCAACCCTGTATGAATAATGGAGCAGCCGCAGCCCCAGACCTGGGTCTTGTCGATACCAGAACATTCTGTCGTGCCCCATATCCTGGGAACATTCCAACACAACTTTCTCTCCCCTTCTCTTGACCAGATGTCTTGCAGTTTGGGTTACTTTGGCATCCATGAGACCTGAGGAAGAAGGGAAAAGGAGGTGGAAAAGGAAGTCATCAGGAAGCCCAATAAGGGGAAAGTCTTGTATCCAGGGTCTAGAAATCATAGGGCAGGGGTTTGCCGTTAACTCCCCAGACTCACCTACTCCCAGGAAACAAAAGGCCACACCACAGAGGAGCCTGAGTCCCATGGCAGGTTCCAGGCCAGAAAGGGTCTTCCCACAGGCGCAGGCTGCAGGCTGATTGACGGCTGACTGACGTCTCCAACGTCACTGTCCCCGCCCACACTCGTGAGCCCTCAGTGGCCCTACAGATCCAGAGGGTTTAGAGCTGCGAGAGTGAAAGCCACTCTGTCTCCTTCGGGGGTGGGGTGTGTGTGTGTGTGTGTGTGTGTGTGTACGCGCGCGTGTATGTAGAAGGTTAACTCAGCAGGCCCCAGAAGCCTGTCTTACAAGGACGCGCTGGTGAGGCAGGCTCCCGGCCTGCACCTGGGAACCTGGGTTTCGGCAGTGTCTCGCCATTTAGCAGCTGGTGAGAGCGCCGTTGGCTGTGTCCAGCTGCCGGCCCAGGCCAGGAGGTGTACGCCCAACATCCACTTCGCTTCTCTGAGTCTGGACTGTTGGTTCGTGCTGGGCAGCGGGTGCCCGTGGGTTCTGCTGCGCTAGTGGGCTGGCGCTGCCGTCATGGGGGACAAGCAGCCGAAATGCATTTTCTCACTATTCTGGAGGCTAGAAGTCCAAGATCAAGGTGTCAGCAGGGCTGGTTTCTTCGGAGGCCTCTCTCCTTGGCGTGGAGACGGCCGTCTCTCTCTGTCTTCACAGGATCCTCCTTCTGTGCACGTCCATGTCCTAATTTCCACTTCTTATCATGACCCCAGCCCCACTGGATTCCAGCCCACCCCAACGGCCTCATTAACATGAATTACTTCTTGAAAGATCTTATCTCCAAATAGTCCCATGCTGTGGTATGGGGGTTAGAACTGCAACGTGAATTTCGAGGGGACACAATTCAGCCGGTAACACCAGCTGCTAAAAATACCTGGGTGCCGAGTGTCTGGTGGGCTTCTCTGGGCAGAAATCCTGCCCACGGGGCCTGCACGTTCATTGCCGGGTGAAACTGTGCACCCTCGCGGGGGGCGGAAAACACCGGACATCTCGCGTAGATTCTTCCACACCCTGCCTGCGTCTTTCCCCCCTGACCCAGCTGCGTACCCAGGTCTGCCACAAATCTCAGGCACGAGAGCAGCGGCATGCCGCGTGCGTGACCGTATACCTCCTGGGGAACCAGAGAAGCAACCGCGAGGCCCACAGGGTAAGGAGGAGTCGGCCAGGTGGACCTGGCGGAGGAGGCGGCGTGTACGTACATTCGTCTGGGACCTCTGGAGCAGGGCGGCAGTCACCCTGCAATGCAGTTAGTTATCCAGTGACTCCAAATAAGGTGTTGAGCCGGAGAAGGGAAACCCAGGGCCAAGAGCTGAACCGACAAAGACAGTTTGTGTAGAGATCAAGTCGGACTGGATGGTTGAATGCTGTTGCTGTTGAGAGTGTCGGTGACGGGAAACACGGCAAGCTCTGTTGACTGTGGGACCCTGGAGGGAGGCCCAGAGGACCCCTGCGTGTCTGAGGTCCAGGGAAGCGCCCTCCAGCAGGTGCTACCAGGGAGGCTGGATTGGTATCAGGTGAATTCTGACGAAGGGTCTGGGCCGAGGAAGGTGCAGCCACCTCCTCCCCCCTGGTGACACCCCTTTCTGGGGAAAGAGGAAGTAGCTGTGCAGTGCTGTGGGTTAACTGCTGGCAGGAATGTCTAGATGCCTGCAGGTTAGGGGAAATTCTTAGTATTACCTTCAAAGAGGCTGTATATTCTAGAGACTTCCCATCTGTCGGTTCCCCTGGCGCCAGCTGACTGATAGATCAGTTGCAGCCTCATTCCTGGCTCCTGTCTGAATCAGCACCTATAGGTCATAGTACATATTTTGGTCACATCACAGAGACACTTTCTTTTCTGACCCTGAAACCTAATTACCTGGGATTTCAGTGACACCGCCGTCCATACGCACTGTGGATGAACAGAGATGGTACCTGAAGAGAGAGTTTAGGAGGGACACCAGTGTATAAGCAGGCACCTGAGACAGTCTTAGTGTAGGGGTCTGGCCCACCAAGTTCAAGGTCATCCTGCCTGTTCCCATGAGGCACCTACTCTAAAGCCACAAAGGGCTGCAGACCAGGAAGAAGCCGCAGTGCCTGTGGCAGGTGACTTTATGTGTCGGGGCAGGGGCTCTGTGTTAGCTCTGGTGTTAGGACAATAAGACCTGGGTGCTGGAGTGCCGGCCTGTGACAGCGTCAAGTCCACCCCGCCTCTGTGCTCCCAGGCCGTTTTCCAAAGACCAGAAGCCACGCCCATTGTCTCCATGGCACCGGGTGGGACTTTTATGTAGACTTGTCAGCTCAGAATGACCGTAGCTGGTGGCCTCTGTTTACACAAGGCCAATAGCAGTATATTCTTATTTTTGTTGCCTTCTTAAACTTCTTTTGTAACGTTTAAATTCTTATTTATTATTCTCAATTACAGCTGACAAACAGTATTATATTAGTCTCGGGTGCTTAGGCTTCTTCTCTCTATGCACATTATCGTGTCAGCATGACACCAATTTTTATTAATGTACAGTGATCACATTTTCCAGCTATTTCCATAGCCCGGATCCTTAGAGCGAATCCTTATCATTTCCAGTGTCTCCCTAAACTCCTCCTCAAGATGGTTTTTGCAAATGTATCCGAATCTCCACGTTTACATTCATTCCAGTGACTGTCTTGTGTTAAAGATTTCCATCTTGAACAATTCTCCTTTGTGGGGGCCATGCAAGACTGTCCCCTCACCTGAGCCTACCATTAATCGTGCTCTGTCCCCTGCAGTTTGCTGACGGAAGCCCATCTGCCATTGAGGACCATGAGGCGGAAGGGAAGTGAGCGTAACGTGTGCACCCCTTTTCTCTTCAGCTCTCTCTCCAGAGCCGCACCGCCGCGCCACCCACCCCACCCACTCTGCCCCGCGGCCCTGTGCTCCCTTTTCACCTTCTGCGTTTTAGTCCAGACCCTGAGACGCATCGTTCTCCCAGCTTAGCCCAGGTCCAGAATGTGTTTCCTGTTCTTCACTTTTAGTTTTTATTCTTAGACATCCCCTTTTACTCCTTTCTACGTTTATTCAACCAAGGACCTATTTCATACCTATTTTTCATGTTCAAGGAGCTTGTAGGGAATCCTAAACAAAGTAGCCAGGAGAGCACTGTGGCTTCCCCTGAGAGGAGAGGGACCTGGGTTGCTGGGTGCTGCCAGGGGGAAATCTAGCATTTCATGTGTGTGTGTGTGTGTGTGTGTGTGTGTGTGTGTTTGTGTCCACATGGTTGTGTATCTTCCTCTCTCTTTTTTTTTTGCATGCAATTTCGTCCTGTTTACCTTTGTATTTCTTTTATCATGGTGAAACAAATATACACAATCAAAACTGAGTTCTGTTCAGGAATCGATTTTAAGGGTTGGTGTTGCATTGGGCTCCTGGCTTGTCCTCCCAAACTCCTCGGTTGCTGACATGGGAAGCTGGATGCCGTCCACGTGTTTTCATCACGACTGGGAGGGGCACTGAGTTTGTGGGACATGGCGATGAGTCCAGTTTGACGCGCTGATGGAGCTACTAAGAGACATTATCATGCAGGCAGCTGTATAAATTGCGCGGGTGCTCAGATCAGATACCTGCCTAGAATATATGCAGTTTGAGTTATCAGAATATTGACTTTTGTGAAAGTGAGGAACTTGGGTGAAATTGTCCGGGGCAAGTGTATAATGTAATAAAAGGTTGGAATACTGAAGAAAACCATTGTTAAGGGAATAAAAGAGAAAGAGTAGTCTGCCAAGAACATGGGCAAGGAGGGAACCCAAATTAATATTAAAACAAGTCATGAAAATTGTTCCATGCCTGAAAATCGACTAAATCTTGTGGACATTTCTTTAGCACGTGTGAGGTCGAGCCAGGTGTGAGTGAGACGCTGGAAGCCTCCACGGAGTCCGAGACCGGGTCCCTCTAAGGGGCAGGGCAGACTGAGAACTCTCCTGGTCCTGGGAAGCAGGGGCTGAAACGCAGACTAAAGTGGCGTCTAAAGCAGGCCGAGCTCAGGGCAAGGCTACCCCATCTCTAGGCCCTGACAGAACGGGGGCTTAGGGTCGTGAAATTCTATGTACGTATGAAGGGGTCTCTCTACATCATCATTGTCCCCCAGGCTCCCGGGGGACAGGGACAGTCGTCACTTACGATGACTTCCAGGAACTAAGATAATGTCATTTGGGTGGCGGATCGATTTCACAGGGGGTAGTCTTTGGTCTTATAACCTCCACTTACATCTCTGATTCAATTAGTATAATTCTATTTATACTGGAGATGTGATAAAAACTATAGTGGAAACCCAGTTTAGACCTAAAGAGCAGCACTTTTTGTGGTTTAGAAATGTCTGAGCCCTGGCTGGCATAGCTCAGTGGATTGAGCGCGGGCTGTGAACCAAAGCATCGCAGGTTTGATTCCCAGCCAGGGCACATGCCTGGGGTACAGGCCATGGCCCCCAGCAACCACACATTGATGTTTCTCTCTCTCTCTCTTTCTCCCTCCCTTCCCTCTCTAAAAATAAATAAATAAAAATCTTTAAAAAATGTCTGAGAAAGTCTTTCAGAAGAAAGGATGGCAGCCCCCGAAGCCTATGTGTGCAGCAGTGTGAGATGCCCCAGGAGAGAGCTCATCCTAAAGGGGGAGGGGGCGGGCTGGCAGGAGGGACCAACTCAGTAAGACAGCCATAGCTCTTGGAGGGATGAGTGGACTCTAAGCCCAGCGAGGGCTTTGTTGCCAGAATTTGTATCCTGGATGAGGTTCTCTGCATTCCCTGGTTCCACGTTATAATTCCCATTTTAGTGATTGGTGAGGAATGTACGTGATTCAGTGAGCCATTGCGCTCAAGTCTCTGTAAGACATTGGGGATCAAGAAACAGAAGTGCAGTCTTGTCCCTCCAACACAGAGAAGGGAAAGGAGAGGGAAAAGCTTGAGCGAGAGGCTTCCTCTTATTTTTCATTAATGGAGCCACCTACCACTTTGCAGGAAACAGTACCCAGGGTAACGGTGGAACCTGCTGGGAACAACGGTAGGGCCTGCTGGATTGCGGTGCTTGGGAAATAAAACGGTGCAGAGCAGAAGCATCAGCAGTGACTGACAGGTAGTTTAGGGCCCATCAGGAAAAGGAAAGAATCCCACGGTCCAGTGGTACTGAAGAGAGGCAATAACATCCTTGTCAGGGTGACATATGGCGTAGATAAACATGGGGCTGAAGTGGAGGAACAATAAACTCTACTATAGTGCATGATTTGTCTTGTTTATATACACATGTGAAGACCCCTGGGTTCTCCCCAGCCTGTACGGGAGGGGACTTTGCAGGGAACTTAGATCCTGGACTAGTCCGAGGGGTGTTGGAGAGCTGATGGAGAGAAGATTGGTTTATTGGTTCATTGATTCGCTTCACACTGCGAGTACTTCCTTTGGGCACACTGGAATGGTCCTTGCTCTCATCAGCCTCCATGCTGATTAGTGTGAACTTCAAATAACAAACAATTGGGGGTGTTAATTGCCGTGAGGTTAGAAGTTCAGGCTGCCATACAGCACCTAACAGAGGAACTGACCAAACCAGTCAGGTGTTCAAGGACATTTTCATGGGGGAAATAACTTCTCAAGTGATAAGCACAAGAATTATGAGTTAGGTATCCAGGTAGAGAGGGAGAGGAAGGGTGCTCCAGGTAAAATGAACGTTATAGGTGATGGCCCAGGAGTGAGTCAGCAGGGGGCATCCTTGGGGACATGAGACAGGAGGACCCCCTCTGGTGCCGAAAGAGGAAGTTCGCATTAGGGTGGTAGACAGGTATGCCAAGACCACATCAAGGAGGGTGCTTGTAAAGTAACATGAACTTGAGACGTTAGCTAGGTTCATGGAAGACCCCGATGGGTTTTGACTACTCAAGGGAGTAGTCTGTGGCTTGGGACAGGCAGCAAACTAGAGGCGAGGGTGGCGACTTGAAAGGTGGTTAAGGAATCAAGGTGACAGATGACATTCGCTGGACCATGGTGTTATCAGTGAGGTTAGAAAAATTAGTGAAATTTGCGGGGAATTTAATACTTAGAAATGCAGAGGGGCGGCCACGGATTGGTGCAGAAGGTGAGGACATCTCTGCCTTAGCCTTTGGTTGGACAGCAGGGCGCGTTGCTGAGATGAAAATGGGAGGTGTCGGATTTAGCAAACAACTCAGAACCTGCTCTTCCCCCGGTGACAACACACCCAGGAACAGGACCTAGAATATGGGAAAAAATCGTGTTGAGTGATTGGGTTGGAATGCAGTGTTCAGCTTGGGCATCAGTGAAGGTTGGTAAGGAGAAAAGATGGCAGGGTGTGTGAAATTGCTTTTGTGGGAAAGGAATTTCTTACCTCGGCAGACCAACCACAGTTCGCTTGTCCTGCCTGAACTTTGACAAGCTCACTGGGACAGCAAGTGAGAGCAAGACAGGTTGCAGACCTGCAGACCATCAGCCCGGAAGCTGGGGAGTGGAGGAGGGACTCCTATGGGCACAGATGGTGGGGGAAGGCGGGGCATCTGGAGGGAGGGGCCTCCTTGCTCTGTGGCTGCCCTTTTTGTGGGGAGGACCCTGGGCTGTGACATGCTGTGGATATACTGCTGGCACAAAGGTACAGAGAGGTCTGGCTGATGCTGGGTGACTCCAGGGTCAGTGGGAAATTTGTCTTCTCTGTTCGAGACACCTTGTACCCATCAGGGACATCTCCCTTTTCAATATGGCCCACATTAATGGAATAATAGATCAGCCTGAGCCCCAGTCCAGGGTCTTGTCGATACCAGTACATAGCCTCATGGTCCATATTCTGAGAACAAGTCACTGTCAACTTCTTTTTGGTCTCTGTGATGAGGTGTCTCGGCATCTGGGTCACTTCGGCTTCCAGGGGGCCTGTGAAGGAAGGAGACAGGGCTAGAGACAGCCAAGGAGGGCGCCTGGTGCTACTGCCACTAGGAAGGGGCTCCAGCTAAGACCTGCAAGCTATGTCCAAGGGCAGCCCACGAGTTCTGGGACTCACCTGCTCCCAGGAGACAAAGCACGACACAGCGCAGGAGCCGGGGCCCCATTCCCGCGTTGCACAGGTATCTGCCAGCTCAGGGGGCTCCCGTTGGTTTCTGTAATGTCTCCACCTGGCCCTCATTTCCAAGAGAGAAGCCACTCCCCTTTTCTCAGGGGGCTGGCGTTTAACTCGAGCAACAAGTACCCATCAGCGCAGGCTGGTGAGGCTTGTGGCCCCTGTCATTGTCCCTGCTGTGCTTTGAGGCTGCTTGTTTCTAAGCAGTTGACAGTGTCTGCTTTTCTACGTACGCTTGTCAAACTTGGCCGATATCTCTGCGTTTGGCAACTTTATAATGAAACTTGGCGTGGCATATTTGAGTATCACTTAGAAATGTGAAAACATGAAACTCACGCTATCATCACATCTGTGCTTTTAGACTAAAGAAGTCCTCACTTCTACTCTGCAGGAACGAATTCCCATTTCTATCTTTGTGGATAGCCACCAATGAATTTTTTTTTTTTTGCCACTACCTTTAAAAAGAGTCTCACGTGTAAAAACAGGCAAACCCACCCTTGGATTATCTTATTGGTCTGTATCAGTTCAAAGCCCTAGCTGCCGGGCTCTGTCCTCCTCAGCAGACTGGCTGTGGGCGCTAGCGGCTGCCCTCCTCAAGGTTGGGGTTTGGCGTCGCTCTCTTCCTTTCCCTCTCCTCTCTCCTTCTCCGGTAACCTCACGTCTCCACAGCCCACGCAGTCCCTCTCTGTGCTCTTCGCACCGACTCTGCTCTGCTGCCTTCTGCGCACGTGGCTCCCCAGGGAAGGTTCCTGCCCCTGAATGAGTGTGGCAGCCGGGCTGCTCTGGACCCACATCATGGGGACCCTGCCTGAAGCTGGGGTGTCGCTGCTTCTCTTCTCAGTCCCTCCTCCAGCTGCATGTATTGCTCCCTTTTCCGAGTCACTGAGTCCTTCCGGCACTGAGGTGACTTCCCTGGTGCTGCCCAGAATATCTTCCCCCTTGAATGCCTTTGAGATTCTCTTGGGCTTTGCTGGAACCAAAGTGTTCTTGGTGGGGTGAGGTGGCGTGAGGTGGGGAGGAAGGGGACAGGGAAAGGGACTGTCTCATCCCTCCTGATTGCTTCCAACCACAGCTAGACCTTCCCAGATACCTTCTGTATGTTGTCAAATTGTTGCCACCTTCAGGCAAGAACTGGGCCCTCATCCCAGCTCCAGGGCTGCCCTCAAACCTCAGAACTGGCTTTCCTGCCCCCAGCAGCCCCTGTTCCGTGCGAGTGAGGGACAGAGCTGCTCCCAGGACATGAACTCTGCTGTAAGAGGGGGTGTCCTGTCCTCTCTTTATATTTCTGCACCACTCCTTTCTGGAAGACTCGGTGGGGAACTTGCTGCTACCTCAGTGCTGTCCCAACAAGTCCCCTGTGGCCCACCTCCGGGCACAGGCGTTCTGGAGGGAAGGACAGCCAGGCCTTCCTCAAGAACCCGCCTCAAGTCAGTGATTCCGAGTTACCTAGCAAACCTCGTCACAGTGTACCCACCTCCGTAAAGTGGAACTCACTACCTGTTTCTGCTCCTGTCCATGGGGTTTTCCCAGGCTCCCTGGTGTGTCCAACACCATCGAGGTCCATAATGATACCGTCTAGAGGTACAGCTTGTCCCACGAGTTTTCCATAGTAGATTAACCCAAGGTTCTGTATTCCGATGTCCAACCACCTAATTCCTCTCCTCTGACATGAGCTCCTCCCCCTCCTGCTGGCAGTGGGGTTGCTCTGGTGTCTTTTTTTTTCAAGACACTAAAGTGCTGCTGTTAACCTGAGTTGTGATATGCTCACATTAGGAACTAGTTGCTGTAGCTTCCCACCCTTCCTTTCTAGAAGCTTCCCTGTGATCCCTGTTTCTCAGGGCTACCACATTCAAGAGTTTGGGGAACTCCACCTGCCCCATGCGGGGCAGGCTCCAATGTCCCCAACAAAGGGGCTAGGCAGAGGAGACAATCCTCTGGACGGCCAGGCCCCCCCCCCACAGCTGTTTCCCTCCACCTTGCACACTTGAACGCCCCTCCTTCTGTGCCATCCACCCCCGCCCGCCTGTCCCTGTACACCTGCCTTCTTTACTGCCTGCCCTCAGCCTCCTCTGAGGCCCCGCCTCATAAGTCTGCTGCTTCTCCCACCCACTCTTCCCGGGCCAGTGTCTCGGCGACAGTAGTTACGCCTGCCTCTACCAACTGAGGAGCCATTTCTCTGAAACCCCTGCAGAAGAAGAACACAGGTTCTATCCCTTTAAATATATAGAAACCTTTTTTCTGTGGGTGACCCCAAGCCCGGATGTCCACTGTAGAATTTGCACCACATGTCCAATCCTATTTTACTTACGCTCAGGCCATTTTGGATCTTAAGGAAGTCCCTCTGCCCTATGTTTTCCCATACTATATAATTGACCTTTAAAAGACCTCATGAGAGGTATTTGTATATTGGGGTTTCTTTTCATTGGTGACATGGTGTTCACTTTTATTAAGCTTCGTCCATCATTATCTGAAATGCAATGTTTATATTAAGGGATACCTTAGCGCCCTCTAGTGGAATAGTACTACTGAGGGCAGAATAACAGCCCCTGAAGGTGTCGGAGTCCTAATCCTCACAAGCTGTGAATGATTAGCTTGCAAAAGAAAATGAAGGTTGTGGATGCAGTTAAGACTGTTGATCAGCTGCCCTTGAGCTTAGAAGAGGACCCTGGATTATGCAGTTGGGCCCAATCTAATCCCACTGGTCCTTAAGGGTGGAGAACCCTTCCCCGCCGTGGTTAGAGGGAGACGTGAGCAGGGGAGAAGGGACACAGAGATGGAACATTGCGCACGAGGGCAGGATCACTGCACTCCTTGGGTTTGCCACTTTTCTGCAGAGAACATGGCCGCATTGATAAATGGCTGCTGTGGAGGGACTCAGCTCTCGGGCGTCCTGCTTTCCTTGGCCTTGTTCCCCATGGGTGTGGCAGATAGAAATCTGAGAAAGACCCTGATGACCCTTGCCCAAGTACTATCCCCTTCTTTTTGAGTGTGGGTGGAACCTATGAACATGATGAGCTATCACTCCTGGAATTATATTTTTGGGCAAGAGGGTTGTTATCCAGGTAGGTCTATTTTAATCTCTTGAGCCCTCTAAAAGCACAGTGTAGCAGAGGCAGAGGTCAGGGAACTTGTTGAAGCACAAGAAGAATTGAATGAACATCCTGGTTTTGAAGACGGAGGGGACTGGAAAGAGACTGAGGGAAACGCCCAGTGACAGCCAAGGATACAAGGGCTCTTTTCAAAATGAGGGGCTATTTTTTTTCCTCTCTTGATCAGAATCAAATTTCATCAAAATTTCCCCACACCTGTAGCGGAAAACTGAAGTTTGCCTTAGAAAATATGCACATTGGGTTAATGCCTAGTGAATAAGGCATTGTTCATGGCATTTCAGACCAGGGGCCAGGGCTTTGACTACAACAGGAATGGTGCCTTAGAGGGGACAAGAGTGGGAAAAGGGAAGTGAGGAATTTTGAGGTCAAGGCAGGGCTTCAGTGCAATCTTGTGTGGAATCTTCTCCTAACTGGGGTCAGGAGCCTTGAGCGCCCCGTTTCCTTGTTGGTTTGCATCTATTTTGTGCAGAGAGGAGGAGGCTGCGCTTCGCTGTGGACCCACTGCTGGTGCAGAGGCGCACAGAGGCCGGGTGGGTGCCGGCCAGCTCCGAGGTCAGGGGAAAAGGCTTCAGTTCTCTTCAAGAGACACTATACCCGCTGGGGACAACTTTTTCAATGGTGCCGGTACCAAGCGAATAAGTAGATCAGCTGTAGTCCATGTCCTGGGTCTTGAGGGCGCCAGTACACTGCAGAATGATTCATATTCTGTGAACATGGTAGAGTTAATTCCTTTTTTTGTTCCTGAGACTCTATGTCTCGGGAACTGTGTAACTACACAGCACCCTGGAGCTTATGGGGGAAAAAAAACATGATTAAAGAAAGATAGCGCCTGGGTCGGGGGCATGGATGCTATAGTCCCAAAGAAACATTTTCCTGTTGGAGCCTGGGAAGCCCGTGACAGGGTGCCTGACCTGTGCCCAGGACTCACCTACTCAGACAAGACAAAGGACGACACAGCAGAGGAGCCTGCTGCTCATGCAGCGTCAGGTGACATGCCCTCTGGGACTGCCATGGACGCGGTCTCTGACACCAATGCCTGTGTGTCATCTTAGGCAGGTGAATGAACTGTTTTGTGTCTCAATTTTACTGCCTGTAGTTTGTGCTAATAAAAGGACAAACCTTATAGAGTTGCTGTGAGAGTTAAATAAGTTAATACGGTTGGTGGTTATAACAATATACACAGGAATCACTCACTAAGGTTTAGCTTTCAAAGTGGTTAACTAGTAGTACTGCTACTAGTATCATCATTTATTATTGAGTCTAACTTTTGTGCTGGGGATGGTGTTAGGCAATCCACATATACTTTCTCAACTAAATAATATGTCTGGGAGCCACATATTATTGAGTTCACTTTAAAGATTAGGAAATTATCTTTAGAGAGGTTAAGTAGCTTGGCAATACTAAAACGTGACCAGATAAGTCTAATTCATATTCTAGTGAATATTTGAATAATAATTAGTACCACGCTGAGCTGACTGAGCCGAGGAAGACTCTGCCTGGCTTTTCTCCCTGGACGCCTCAAAACAGAGGTCTCCCCTGTGAGCCCACACTCACCCCTTCTCGGCACACGCAGGGCCCCGAGCTGACGGCTGCACTTTTGTCCCTCGCCTGCGTGTTGCCTGTTCGAAGTTGAGTCCCATGCAGGTGGGGACCAATGTCTCTCAGATTTGGCGTGTTCACATAAGAAGAAGCATTGGTCTGTGGAACAGCTTCCCAGTGGCCAAGGAAGTCTCCAGAGAACCAGGGCTGAAGACAGGGGAGTTGGTGGAGGGTTTTCTTTGCAACCACAGTTCCTGTCTCGTGGAAATTTAGTTAAAAGCCCACTGATTCAGAGGTAGACTGCTGAAAGCGGTTGGAGGCATGGAATGAGGACCTGAGGCTGTGGGGAGCAGGATCGGGGTTGGGACTTTGAGATACTGTGTGGGAAGTAACGAGCTGTAAGTGAG